CTCTTTCCTGCCCCAGAGCTGAGGGCTATTTTTGGAGTGCAATGCAGTTGTTGACGTGTTTTCCAGTTGTACAGTCAGAGAAATATGTTTGTGGGGATGAACAATACTACACACACATCATATGTATTCCATAATATGTCATATCCTGACAAGCTGTACAACTGCTAATTTATCTTCAAAACTTGGCCTGCTGCTTCCCTAGGATCAAGCTCATGTGCTCGTTCACCTGCATGGTGAGCTGATGTGACACATCTGCTGGAAACAATGGTATGGAAAAGAATTAGTTTTTATCTGGAAAAATACATCGCATAGACTCATAGAATGGTTAGGGTTGGAAGGAACCTTAAAGATTATCTAGCTCAAACCCTCCTACCATGTGCAGGAACATCATGAGAGATAACAAGAGTTCATAGCTGTTGTTTTTAAGCCACCCATCCACTCACCCACTGCCCATCAGTAGGGTGGGATGGAGATTCTGAAGGGTAAAAGTACAAAAATTTATGGGTTAAGATAGAGATAGTTGAATAAGTAAAGCAGAAGCCATGGGTGCAAACACAGCAAACAAGGAATCCATTCATGACTTCCCATCAGCAGGCATATGTTCACTCATCTTGAGGAAAGCAGGGCTCCATCACAAGTAACGGTGACTTGGGAAGACAAACACCATCACTCCAGATGTCTCTCCCTTCCTCTTTTGTTCCTCCAGCTTTTACTGTTGAGCATGATAATACATGATCTGGGATATCCCTTTGGCCAGTCGGAGTCAGCTGTTCTGCCTGTGTGTCCACTTAGCCTCTTACGCACATCCAGCACACTTGCTGGTGGGGTAAGTATGAGTAGCAGAGAAGACCTTGACACTGTGTCAGAATTGCTCAACAATAACTTAAATACCAGAGTGTTAGCAACACTGTTTTGGTCACAAATCTAAAACTTAGCACCATACAAGCTACCATGAAGAAAATGAATTCTATCGCAGCCAAAACCCAGTTTAATGGCAAATGGCTTCACTCATGGCAAACATGAAGACTCACAGCAATCACTTTCAGCAGTCTAAAACTATCCCCTCATTTTTTTTTAGATCCTATAGACTACCAACCATCCCTGTGTGTAGATCTTTGCCAAGCCACAGTAAAGCCTCTGTTCGAGAAAAAAAATTAAGTTTCCTATGATTTGTTCCACAAAATTACCAATTTCTTTCCCTTCTTCGCATTAAAGACTCTCAGTGTGACTGAACAGCCTGTAGATGACTATAGTAATTCAAGGTAGGCCCTCCCCTCCTCCCCCATATTGATATTCCTGACATTTTAATGGTTAATCTCATTTGCTTTGGTTGACTCAGGAGATGTGTGGCACCTCGTTGGCTAACCAGTGCTTTCAGAGTGCCTAACTTTTAAAGGCTGAAGGAGCTGGGTCTCTTTATCTTGGAGAAGAGGAGGCTCATTCATGTTTATAAATATGTAAAGGAGGAGTGTCAGGAGGACAGTGCCAGGCTCTTTTCACTGATGTCCAATGAGAGGACAAGGGGCAATAGGTGCAATTCGGAACACAGGAGATTCCACGAAAACATTAGAAAAAACATTTTCACTGTGAGGGTGCTGGAGCCCTGGCACAGGCTGCCCAGGGAGGTTGTGGAGTCTCTTTCTCTGGAGACATTCAAAAACCACCTGGACGTGTTCCTGCATGACCTGCTCTGGGTGATCTTGCTCTGGCAGGAGGCTGGACTAGATGATCTTTCGAGGTCCCTTCCAACTCCTAACATTCTGTGATTCTGTGAACCTGTGCAGCTTTATTTCTTATGAAGTGGTAACGAGTGGACTAGCTGGCAGTTGTGACTCGTTAGGTGACAGGCTAACCTGAATGGCCTTATTATTTGCTGTTAGTTCCTGAAATGCAGCAGAAAGGTAACCTCTGTCTTGTGCATCACTTCCTGGCAGAATCATCTTCCTGCAACCGCCCACTAACGGCAAAGCGGGTCCGATGCTGCAGCTCATAAAGTGAACAAAGGCAGCTTGGGCTCAAGGGACATGCGTTATGCAGAGGATGAGATCAGGCTCAGACATCGAGCTGCTTGGGGCGATGTGTTATTAAATGCTATCTACTGATACGCTACTTTAGTAGAAGCTGATTAATGACATCCTACTTTATTATTCCTTATCTTTTATCTCCACCTTGTTTCACAGATGTAGCCGGCTGTACACAGCACTAACCAAAGACCTGTGGCACTCATTAGATGGTGGCTGCTCCTCACAAGTGCCACCAGGCATGCAATTCCTATTCATGATTTTGCTAACGATGCTGCTTAACATGTTGCTGTGTTGCTGTTCAAGCAACTAGACAACATGGTCTTGTCAGTCTCGAACTAACTTATCTTTTACTTATCATTTTCTTTGACACAATCCTCTGATAAGCAGAGAGATAAATACATGATAAAATACTACATGATAAAATACAGATACATGATAAAATACAGAGATAAATACTCTGCAATGTATTCCCCCGGCAGTAAAATCTTAGCAGTAACACTGTAGAGGGTTTTCATCTAACAAGTGCTTCTTTTGGCCTGTTCTCTGTTTTGTTGGGGTGTTGCAGCTGCAGATCTTAAGGCACATTTAAACTAGAAACAAACCCTTATTTAGCCATCCGCATGCCTCAGGAAGCTTTCAGTCTTTGTGTGAATGTGGGTGCCAGCGGCTCAGGACAGGTACAGGACACAGGCAAGTCAAGCACATTCAGTTACTTAAGGTCCTGTTTTATCGTAGCTTCGATGCTGTGATTAGAGGAGTGAAGCCCTGTAACAGAAAACTAACTGAAGGAATCATTTCCTGCTGGATTAGTGTGCTGATTTATCTCTGAGAGAGTCAGTCAGGTACCAGGACACTTTTGCTGAAGACAATTAAAACTACCTTGGTTACTTCTTAGAGCAAACAGATGTGGACTTGGTGAGGAGGGATAAGAAGGGCTAGATTAGGTAAATACAGCTCGTTACTAGTACTGGCCCATCTGATGCTAAAGGTGTGTGTCTTCCGTGTGACCACATGGTCTGGTTGGTCTCTCCTTCACCTGGAACCTGTGCTTGATCCCAGGGGCAGTGTGGAACTCTTCCACAGGCTACAAAACCCACTCAGGTCAGGGGCTAAATAGCAGGGCAGCTGCACTCCATGAGGCCCTGTAGGCAACTGCTGATACCTGAGCCCTGGCCAGGATAAAACCAGTTCCAAAAAAGCATGGATACGCTGTGGAGACAGCTTCTGCCCAGAGAATGTATCAGGGAAAGGGGATGATGTGAGACAAAAAGAAAGTAGAGAGAGCAGTAGTGGCCAAGCTGTGGTGTCACTGCAGGCAAGAACATGGGGCTTCCCACACCTTGCCTGGTGTCTCCCACTCCTAAAGGTGGCTGTGTGAATAGTTCAGTTAAAGATCATGATACCAGGACACAAACAGTGTTTTTGTTGGCATAACATTGTGCAAATAGGTCTCTGTTTATGCAGTAGCGCATAGGAAGCCTGATAATAATACTGAGCTAAATAGTGGTGACACGCTCACCTCCTCTTTAAATCAGGGCATTTTTATTACTTGTCTGCACTTTTGCAAGGGCTTACTGAAATATTAAGAATGGAAAATTTGAAAGAAAACATGATAGATTAACTGGTTTTAAACCCATGCTTAGTATTTCAGATTGTCAGTCAATGCTGCATCAGGTGAGGTTTAGGTTGGGTCCCAGGAAGCCCTTCCTCACGGAGAGGGTGCTCAGGCACTGGGATGCTCTGCCCAGGGAAGTGGTGGAGTCACCGTCCCTGGAGCGGTTTAAGGAGTGGCTGCATGTGGCACTTAGTGCCCTGGTCTGGCTGATGTGGTGGTGTTGGGTCAGAGGCTGGACTTGATGATCTCAGAGGTCTTTTCCAGCCTCAACAATTCTGTGATTCTGTGATTCTGTAATGCAAATCCATTCCCATGCATGCCCTCATACTAGCTGATTTCAAATGGGAAGAAGGTGCATTTATTGAAGTGAAAGTGAGCAAAATGCAGCTTTCTTAATGCTTTATTCCTTTTCTATGATTTTCTAAGTCAGAAGGGTAAGACTTGTGGTCACATCATGTGGCTAACTGTGAGGAGTGCGCCCACTCTTAGTTAATCCACAAGTGCAATTAAACTGAATTTACTGAGTAATGAAATCTCCCACAAATTTCTAAGTTCTGGTATTGATTGAGAAGAACGATTACTACACGACACTCAGCTCTTAAGCTTAGAATAACATTGTGCTCATACTGACCCACGTACTCCGGTGTGAGGTCCTCCATGGGCTGCAGGTGGGCATCTACATCCCGTCACCTCCATGGGGTGCAGGGGGACAACATGCTTCACCATGGGCTTCACCACGGGCTTCACCACGAGCCAGGGGACTCTCTGCTCCAGCACCTGGAGCACATGCTCCTCCCTCCTTCACTCACCTTGGTGTCTTCACATGCTCTGACTCCTTTCCCTCTCTGCCAGCTGTTGTGTCACAGTTCTTTTTTCTCCATTTCTTAAATATGTTTTCACAGAGATATTTCTCTCCTATCATTTTACCGATAGGCTCAGCCTTGGCTGGCGGCGGGTGCATCTTTCGAGCTGTCTGGCCTTGGCTCTATCAGACATAGGGGAAACTTCTAGCAGTTTCTTGCAGAAGCCACCCCTACAGCCCCCTCAGCCACTGAAATGTGGCCAGGCAGCCCAACACACCAACAAAGATGTAAAACTATATTTCTGCATTCTTTAAAGTTTGTTTCATCTTTCTTACCTGTCCTGCAAACTGATGCAGCAGAGCAGATGAATACATGTGTACAGTCCAGAAATCTATCTGAAAATAACATAGAAAGAGTTAGAAAATTGTTGATATCTTTGTTGCATAACATTTGTCTAAAAATTTATCTATGGCTGTTACAGAGAAGATTAATTAAGGGTTAATTAATAATGTTAATGAATTACTATCTTCATGCAAGCAGAAAAGGCACCTTTCTGCTCAGATGATTAATATTTGAATTTCAACAATCACAATTTTTTTTTAAGGCCATTTTATACTTTGTTGCATTTTTTACAACATCTTCATTCTTGCAAAAAGAATAAAACCCCAACTGTGGCCAATCTGGTGCTACATATAGAATAGTATGTAGCAGATAATGACTCAACCTTAGAGGAAATAGATTTTTAAAAAATCTTATATATGACAGGTTAAAAGTGAGACAAATGATATGGAAGGAATTAACTGGATGGGAAAAAAACTCAGATATTTCTTAATCTTGTGTATACTTATAATACTGATTAATTTCTCTGGCTTTACATAATTATATGAGAGAAGATAAAACCATAGATACATACTCTTTCAAAAACACAGGGAAAAAATACTAAAAACTGATGCATTTGTCTAATTGAGCAATCAAAATCAGAAGTGTGAAAAGTGTAAATGCAACTTCCTTATGGTACTATACTCCCAATCTT